GAATGGCCTGTGGCGCGGAAGGATCGAAACATGGAAGTACCCGTCCTTCAGGTCGATCGCTGCGAACCAATCTTGAGGACGGATACACCTGAAGATGCATTTCTGCGTGAGCATCTTGAACGGGAACCTGTGAAGGGCCCGGTTCAAGACGCGCAGATCCAAGATAGGTCTCAACCCACCGCCTTTCTTGGGTACAATGAAGTAAGGGCTGTAAAACCCCGACCTCATATCGGCTGGAGGAACCGGCTCTATCGTGTCCTTCGCCAGTAGGACTGCGATCTCTGCACGCAAGACAGGGGCATCTGCTGCTTTCACTGAAGTAAAGTGGACGCCCCTGAACTTGGGAGGGCACCGGGCGAACTGAATCACATAGCCGAGCCTGACGGTTCGAAGGAGCCATCAAGACGGGCTGGATAGCTCTAGCCAGGCTCCCAGACACCGCGTAAGTGGCATCAACGGAACTACAGGCATACCCGCAGTGGGGCAGTGCGGAAGAACACAGGGACCCGGCCCGGGCGTCTTGTAGCCGGTCCGAGGCGGGGTCTGGGTGTGTGTAACACTGACCTGGGGGAGGGAGGAGGGAGTGGTTTGTTCACCATCTCCCGAAGAGCAACTCCCTCCATCTCTGGGTCGCCCGTCTCAGGGCCTCTTGCTCTTTCGCTTACCACCAGGTCTGGCGGGGGCCTGGACAGGCGGGGCGGCTGCTGCGGACGCTGTGCGGGGGCGGCGGCCAGGGGCCGCCCTCAGCGACGAGCGGGCTGAGGCGCTGCCACCAGCGGCCAGGTGGAGGCAGCAGCTGCACGCCGGGGCAGGATGTACCTGATGGCCTCAGTCTGCTTTTGGGCAGTGGAGAACTGCTGGGTGAAGTTCTCCACTGTGTCGCCGAAAAGGCCGGTCTGGGAAACGGGAGCGTTCAAGAATCTTGTCTTGTCCGTCTCGTGCATGTCGGCCAAACACAGTCAGAGATGGCGGCTTAGCCTGGTGCACTTGCAATAACGCCGAAGCGTGTAAGGCGGACGCAGCTTCTCCACAGGCCGTATAAGCAAGGCCGACGAGTGCCTACAGGCCCGGGAGGGTAGCAACAGTTTGCCCCGCCAAGTGGTAGCGGCATTTGGACACAACTGCATCGCAACCGACTGCTCCACCCCGGGAACTCCCGCTTACCCCCGTGCTGGACCGCCATCAAGGGTGGTGAGGGAGGATGAGGGTAGTTTTTACTCTACGTAGAGGTCAGGAGCAGAAGGATAGAACCACTCGGCTCCGAAGCGAAAAGCTGAATATGCGCTGCATCTGCTGCCTACTTATACTCACGCTGTGATCAGCAGCAGCTGGATACAATAATCGCATGCCAATGAGCATTGGCTCGTTTAGTTTACACTCGAAGTGGATTGGTCTCTCTAAGCGAGATCCCAATTTCGTCGGCCATCCGACATAACGTCGAGAGTGACCGACTGAAAGGGAACAGTGGAGCACAGTAGTGGCTGTAGATGGAAGAACGACAATGAGTG